AGAGTTCGAGACTAGCCTGGCCAACATAGTGAAACGGCCAACATAGTGAAACCCCATCTCTACTAAAAATACAAAAATTAGCCAGGCATGGTGGCGCGTGCCTATAGTCCCAGCTACTCAGGAGGCTACAGCAGGAGAATTGCAGCCAGAGAATTAAGGCAGAGGTTGCAGTGAGCCGAGATCACGCCATTGCACTCCAAACTGGGCCACAAAAGTGAAACTCTGTCTCAAAAAAAAACAAAAAAAAAAAAAACTCAATCACATTGCACAGAGTATTTCGCTGGGCCGGAGGGTGGAAGGCCTGGGGATCAGGCTGTGAGGAAACGCATCCCAGTATCTCCAGTTGCCAGCGGATCATCTCAAACTGGATGTCTCCCCTCCTGAAGCCTCGGCTTATTCATCTGTAACGCCTCACAATAATCCGTTTCACAGAATACTTCAACAGATTTGGGGGAAAGGGGATGGGTCAAATTAGATAATTTTACATTAAAAGGCCTCCACAGCCTGCGGCCTCTCTGTGAATGACATGGTATCACTTATCAACCTGCCTTGTGAAGACTGCTGTGAGAATTTGACTCCCAGCTAAACTAAGAGAGTCACCAGGGCAGTCAGCTGTCATGTCTGATTCCTCTCTGTGTTATTGTCAGAGGCAAGCGTGTTATCTATCTGTGTTATTGTCAGAGGCAAGCGTGTTGTCTAGTACTGCTTACCTATTAACTGCCTCCAACTGTTGGTTGAATAAATCAGTCATCGGTACATAAAGGTGAATATCATGTTAGTTAGATCCAGGAAAGACTTTTTCATATTAGTTAGATCTAGGAAAGACTTTTTCCAATGTGAGTTGTTACTAAAATATTCTGTTCTGCTTCTAACCTTCTGTCCAACTGCAAATCACATCACAAAATATTTGTGCTCTTTAAGAGCAAAAACCATGCCTTAATCATTCTGCTTCGATGTGATCTCCGGGTGGGCAAGGACTCGGTTTTGCTCAGAACCTGCACTTGGAAATGGGCCTTGCGCTTGGTAAGACTCCATGAGGATTTGGTAAATAAACGAATGGTTTCTAACCCTTAACACAGAGCTACGCATTCAGCAAATACCGGTTGGATTAATTATTAAACAAGAGAGATCCTTTTTATTTCTAATGTCTCTTTCTAACATTCTTGACTGAAGCGGTGTGGCAGAATGGGTAGGTAGGTGGGCTCTGGAATCAGATGGTCTAGGTTTGAATTCTACCTATTCTACGTACTAGCTGGGTGACCTAGAGTAGCTACTGAACCTCTCTGTGCTTCAGGTTTCTCACTGGTGAAATGAGGATAACATGTTTTCTCCTTTTTTTCTGTTGCCCAGACTGCAGTGCAATGGTGCAATCATAACTCACTGTAGCCTCAAACTCCTGGGCTCAGGCGATCCTCCTACGTTGGCCTTCATAAGCAGTGGGATTACAGGTGTGAGTCACTCAGCTTAGCTAACAATTTTTTTTTTTTTGAGACGGAGTCTTGCTCTGTTCCCAGGCTGGAGTGCAGTGGCGTGATCTCGGCTCACTGCAAGCTCCGCCTCCCGGGTTCACACGATTCTCCTGCCTCAGCCTCCCTAGTAACTGGGACTACAGGCGTCCGCCACCACACCTGGCTAATTTTTTGTATTTTTAGTAGAGACAGGGTTTCACCTTGTTAGCCAGGATGGTCTCGATCTCCTGACCATGTGATCTGTCTGCCTCAGCCTCCCAAAGTGCTGGGATTACAGGGGTGAGCCACCGCACCCGGCCAGCTAACAATTTTTCTAATAGGATTACAGGGTTCATCTAAAGTGTCCATAAAATAATTAGCACATAGTAATTGCTATTTTTTTAAATGACCATATCAGTCTCAACAACCTTCGCTGATGCCCTTTAACCACTGGATAGACCTAAACTCGAGTTATCCACAATTTGGCCCAATATCTCCCTCTTTCCAGTCCCATCTTCCCATACTTTAACACTAGCTGCCCTTTACTGGCTGCTACCTGTGCCAGACATTCTGCTAAGTGGTCTATATCCATTAACTTGTTTCCCTTCTCAAACAACCTAGTGAGGTTGGATTTCATTTTTAAGAGACAGGGTCTCACTATGTTGCCCAGGCTGAACTCAAACTCCTGGGCTTGAGGGATCCTCTTGCCTTAGCCTCCCATGTAGCCAGGACTACTGGCCCATCACTGCACCCAGCTGAAGTGGGACTTATTGCACATATTTCACTGATGATAAGGCAAAGGCCCAGAAAATAAAAATAACTTTCCTGGTGACACACAGCTAATTTTAGGAAGGATGGACTCATTCCCAGGACTCTGTGATATGGAAGTTCACGCTGTTATTTACCGTCTCTGATATGCTTGCCACGCAAAGTTCGGTCAGTGGACCAGCACTCCTAGCATTACCTGGGGGCTTGCTAGAAATGCAGCGTCTCAGGCCTCATCCCAGACCTACTGAATCAGAATCTACATTTTAACAAGCCCCCTGGCTGCACAGTAAAATTTTAGAAGCACTGTTGTAAACCACTTTCTACCAGGGAGACACGAATACTAATTAAGTCAAACAAGTGTTCTCGTTTAATCCCTACACCAATCTGGGAGGTCAGGAGAGTTCAGCATTATTATCCCATTTCGCAGATGAGGAGACTAAGGCTCTGAAAGGCATCTTGAAGTGACTGAGCCCACATAAGCCTGATGCCAGCATAATGCTCTGACTAAACCCAGTCTCAAGTCCCTCCATCTGTAATGTCTTCATTCCCTTTCTCCACCTTGAATTCCTCTCCTCCTTTTAGGCTCCACTTGAAATCCCTTCTTGCTGGGCAAAGCCCTTCTTACCCACTTCCCACTGGGCAGATTGTTTCTTCCTTCATATTCCCATAAGCTCCCTCCACATACCTTTCTCTTGGCTCCAATTCTTTAAGAAATGTACACTGGCACAAACTGTGTACCAGGCACATAGTAGGCATTGAGTAAATGTTTGTTGAACCCATTTGCTCCCAAAGCATTTCTGACTGTTTATGAAAACACTCTGGGGCCAGGCGCGGTGGCTCATGCCTGTAATCCCAGCACTCTGGGAGGCCAAGGCGAGTGGATCACAAGGTCAAGAGTTCAAGACCAGCCTGGCCAAAATGGTGAAACCCTGTCTCTACTAAAAATACAAAAATTAGCCGGGCACAGTGGCAGGTGCCTGTAATCCCAGTAACTCGGAGGCTGAGACAGAAGAATTGCTTGAACCCAGGCGGCAGAGGTTGCAGTGAGCCAAGATTGTGCCCCTGCACTGTAGCCTGGTTGACAGAGTGAGACTCTGTCTCAAACAAAACAAAGTAAAACAAAACAAAACAAACAAACAAAAAACCAAAAACCACTCTCATTGCTCCTATCCTCTTCTGTGTTTGCCAGTCTCTCCTACTGCCTGAGCTCCTGTGTGTCTCCAAACTATTGAGTCTGGCATCTTGTAGGGCCTCAAGTCGTTAGGTAATAAACTAAATGTTCTCCCATCTAAGGACATAATCTATCTATATGTACTTGAGTGGAGCATTACCAGGAGTGAAGCTTTCCAGTTCCCAAGAGGGATAAAGGACAAGTGAGGTGACAGACACCTTGCTGCTCACCACCCCCAATCTTTGGGCTGACATAGGATGCCAGAACTGATTATTGTAAAATAATAATAATAATGTGCAGACATTTGAAAATCTAACTTTCATTTTTCCAGGCCATGAAAGGAAGGCCTAGAAATGGTAAGTGACCTTTTCAAATCCCCTGGGGGTGAAAACCAGGTCCCCAATAACCTGTCGTTTCACAAGAAAAGGAGAAATGGTAAAGGCGGCCGTGATGTCAGGGAAAGACCTCCAAGACATAGAAAGCCCAGCAGCCCCCACGCTCTGCCTCTTTCACAGGAGACCTGGGCAACGCACACGTTTCTAGGCCTCAATTTCCTCATCTGTAAAATGAGGGGGTTGGATGAGCTTCAAAAGCTCCTTCCAGCTCTGAGATGCTGCGCTATAAAATGAGAGAAATGTGAACCTTTAGTTGTTATGATCTGAAAATATTTTGAATGTGGAGAATCAAATTGTACAGCAGTGCATGAACAACATAATATGTTAATGACTAAGACGATTGTATTTAATCCGATGGGAAACAGCAGAGCTGCTGCCACCGCTGCTGCTGCTGCTGCTGTGTGTGTGTGTGTGTGTGTGTGGTGTGCACGCACGTGCGGTTTCCTTCCTTGAGCTCAAACATATATTTTGAATCACTAATATAGTAATCACATCTCTGGCAGCCTATCTTGCCCAAACACACACACACAGACACCACACACCCTACTTCAAATTAAAGTGGGGGTGGGGGAATTCCGCTGCTGCTCTTTACATCATTTCTGTTTGGATGGCTATTTTTTAAAAGAAATTTTTATAGTGAAGGTGTTGGACTGCCAGTCCAGGAGACCTCTGATCTCAGAACTGGGACGCAAGGGTGGGGAGCTCGAGCTGTCATTAGCATTTCGCTTTTGCACCCCCATTGCCCGCTCCTCAGCCGTCACAATCCCGTCCTGCAGCAGGCCCCTCGACCAACACCCGACCCTCGACGGGGGAGGGGTCAGCTCGCCCGCCCCAGGGGCGACTGGGCCAGAACACGTGCTGTGCACTCCACGTGCGCGGAAAATGAACTCGTACCCGCGACGCGGCCGGCGGGGGCGGATGGCAGCGAGGGCCAGACAGCGAACCTTTACCCCGCAGAGGAGTCGGGGCCGGAGCCCGCACGTGGATCTGCGACGGCCCCGCCCCCAGGGGGCGTCCCCTCAGGGACTCCAGCCCCGGCTGGTGGGCCCTGCAGGCCCGGGCCCGACCGCGTCCGCCAGGCCGCCCCGAGGTCCCGGCGAGCCCGGCGGAGGCGGCGGCCCCTCCCCGCCCGACGGCCACGCCCGCGCGGATTGGCCGCTCCCCGACGGCGGGGCGGGGCGGGACGGGCCGGGGCAGAGCTCGCGGCCAGGTGAGGCGCCCCGCCCCTCGGCGGCTCCAGGTGCGGCTGTGGGACCTCGGACCGCGGCGGGGCCAGGGCCAGAGCCGGGGCCGGGGCGCCATGGCCGAGTCCCAGCTGAACTGCCTGGACGAGGCGCACGTGAACGAGAAGGTGACCGAGGCGCAGGCCGCCTTCTACTACTGCGAGCGGCGGCGGGCCGCGCTGGAGGCGCTGCTGGGCGGCGGCGAGCAGGCCTACCGCGAGCGGCTCAAGGAGCAGCAGCTGCGGGACTTCCTCTCCAGCCCGGAGCGCCAGGCCCTGCGCGCCTCCTGGAGCCCCTATGAGGACGCCGCCCCCGCCGCCAACGCCCGGGGCAAGAGCAAGGCCAAGGCCAAGGCCCCCGCGCCGGCGCCTGCTGAGTCCGGCGAGTCCCTGGCCTACTGGCCCGACCGTTCCGACACCGAGGTGCCTCCGCTGGACCTGGGCTGGACGGATACTGGTTTCTATCGCGGCGTGAGCCGGGTCACCCTCTTCACCCACCCCCCTAAGGACGAGAAGGCGCCGCACCTCAAGCAGGTGGTCAGGCAGATGATCCAACAGGCCCAGAAGGTAGGCCCCCGCCTTCGCCCTCTCACCGCTGGGACCTTGGCCCCAGTCCCCTGGACCAGGCCCCACTTCCCAGACAGCGCCCGGGGCAGGCTGCCCTGAACACCCTCTGGAAATTGGGCCCCAACCCGCCCCTACTTCATAGGGCTGCAGTGAGTCCTCTAGAGCGAATGGCTGGGAACGTGTTTGGGAAATTACAAGGCGCTGGACAGATGTCAACCGTCGGTATTCCAGCGTCCAGAGATGCTGGCTCTGCTCTGTGTTTCTGAAACTTCCCTGTCCAGTCTTCCTCCCCAGGGAAGATTGGGGACCGAGGCCCTGTGGTTAAAATGCAGCACTCAAATGTCTTGATAATAACCTAGGTGCTGCCCAGGGATTTACAGAACATATCCCGAGCCACTTTCTCATGTGATCGTCAAAGCAACTTCAGGGAGTGGGTGGCAGTGACCTTCCCGGTCCCACCTCTGCCATGCTGCTCTTTGGACCACCCCTCTCCTCCCGTAGTCAAAGCCGGCCTGGCGCCCTCACAGTCACAGCCTCTCCTGGACCGGGTGCTAGGCCCCAGCTGCCTGGAATGAATGACTTTGGGGGGCGGGGGTAATATTGAGCACCTACTGTGTGCCTGGCCCTGTGCTGGGCGCCTTGGCACAGCAGGTCACCTGACTCGCAGCTCAGGAAAGGACTCCTACTTAGCATATCTGTCCTGATTGGGAGTTGAAAGGAGGGTCTGTTTCCAGGGTGGCTGGTGAGGCCAGTCCGCTGTGGAGCAGGCTGAAGACTTTCATCTTTATGCCTTTGGGTAGGAGTCCTGGGCAGCTTCCTGATCAAATATAGGATGCCCCACTACATCTGAACTTTCAGTAAACACCACATAACTTTTTAGTATCAGTTTATCCTAAACATGACGTGAGACATACTGATACTGAAAAGTTCTTTGTTGTGTATCTGAAATTCAAATAGAATGGGAACGTTTTGTACTTTTATTTGCTAACTCTGGCTCCCCTACACTGAGATTTGTTCAGAAACAGCAGCAGCTTTTGGTGCCCAGTTCAGAATATACAACGGGAGTGGCTTGGGTTTACCACTCGAATTCCACTCAATGAGTGAGGTTGGAGTCCTGGTTCCCCTCCAGGCTGAAGAGGCCTAAGGAGGGAAAATAGAGCTAGAAAGACCAGTGTTCAGGCTCATCTTCCTGGAAGGGGTGATCTAGGTAGTTGGCTACATTGGCTACCAGAAGGAAGGGTTAACTTTCCACTGTGCACGTTTCTACCCTCCCTCTCTATAATTCCTCCCTGTGTGACTGAGTTTTCTTTGTACATTGTGTTCTGCAAAAGAAAAGGCAAGATTGGACACAGAAGAGGGAAAAAGGATGTAGGCGGCAATACAGGCTGCAGCTGGGGTTAGGGGTCAAGTCTCATGATGTCATGCTAACAAAGCCTCTATTTATTTAGCATTTAATATGTGCCATCCACTGTGCTAATGACTCACCTACATTTTCTCATTAGCTTTTCACAACAACCGGGTGAATAGGTGTTTTACTTATTTTTGGAGAAAAAGACATCAGGATTCAGAAGTTTCTCGCCGGAGGTCCCATAGCTAGCAAGTGACTGAGCCAGGACCCAAACTCCAAAGCCTTTGCTCTTAACGATTGTGCTACTCTGCCCCAGTGTCTGAAATAATGGTGCAGTCCGATTAAGCAAGGGGTTTGAATGAAGCTAGCCTGGTCACAACCTGGAGTGCAGGTGCTGTACCCCTGTTACAAGAAGGGGGAGACAGGGCCCCTGGCCACTGAGGCATCTAGTCCCATGTGGGCTGACAGGACTCTCTCCTGCATAGTGAGGTATTTTTAACTCTTTCAATATTTAACAACAGAAACTTTGAACAATTGTGAACCCATCCAATAAGTACAGGTTTAACCAGTAATTTCCTGAAGGCCGACTGTGTGCCAGGCACTAACTCGCCGTGAAGAAGATATACGGTGTGGCTTTACCCTCCAAGGGCTTAACAAATGCTAGGGCTCTGCTGGAAAGGAAAGAGTTTTTAAGGCTGGATGTGCCTAATCTGGGAAGGCTTCCTGAGAGAGGGGAGTTGCAGAATTGGAAAGGGAGAGGGTGAAATGGAATGGGCAGTCTCTCGGTAAGAGAGCTTTTGCTTCGAAAAAGCAAGGAGGTTTGATTGGCAGGGAAAAAGAGCTGTCATGGAGGGAGGTGAGTACTGTGTGGGGCCTGGTGTGGGGACCCTAAAACTGGGCCCAAGGCAGGCGACCACCCCTAAGGAAGCAACAGTGTTGGACACTGTCTGTGCCTACCCAAGTATCAGGACCTCCAGGCCCCCACCCTTAATCACTGTCCCGCCTGTCTGCACAGCCCCTTCTTCCCAAAGACCCTGTGAAGAAGTTGGGACAGAGAGGTTGACCCTGTTTCATAGGTGAGGAAACCAAGGCACAGAGAAGGAAAGAGACTTGCCCAGAGGTCACGTGGCTGGTTCTAGAAAAACCCAGCTTCTGCTCTAGGGGCTGCACCTTCTGACCGCTGCCTGTTCCCCACCCCCACGCCAGCTTGTCCAGCTGGCAGTCAGCCTTCCCTGGCCATTAACTTAGATCCTTCCTCCTCCCCTTTCGCCCCGAGGGATGGAGTTTCCTTTGTTTCCAGTGAGAGTCTGGCTGCTGTGAGGCCAGGTGGGGCAGACTGAGGTGGTTTACGTGCAGGGACACGGGGGAACTGCCAAGGGGAGGCAGCAGGACACGCACACATCCAACTGTGTGCTGTGCCAGAGTTTTGTATTTTATTTCATTTAATCCTCAGAATAACCCCGTGAGGTGTTTTGGTTTCTGAATCACAGACAGGAAACTAAGGTTCAGGAGTTGCCCGTGGCTGCCAGCCTACAGTCACAGGCCAGCGGATGATTCTATACCTGGTACTCAGGAATATGGAGAAAGGAGCCTAATTAGGGGAACATGAATGGGGGGTGAGGGGGGAGGGGCTGAGGATGGGGACCAGTGAGGAAACAGCCCAGCAGAGGCCTTGTGGACTGGTAGGAGGGCCTTTGAGGAGGTCCGGCTGAGCAACCTGTATCCTGGGCCTCTGCAGGTGTCAGAAAGCCCTTCCCAAACTGCCATTCGGCTGTTTACTTGTGGGGTGGAGATTTTTTCTGCTGTTTTTTTTTTTTTTTTTTCTTTTTCCTTTTGAGTGATCTGCTTACCTGGGTGCCTCTGAATGATGGACTTTGTCTACTTAAATTACAGGCAGAAAGGGCGCCTTTAGGGACCCAAAAATGATCTCCTGGCCTATGCTACGCTAGCAAAGAAGACCAGGGGAAGTTGCTGATGCTGGGGCCACTCAGGTCATTGTAACTGCCCGGCAGTGGACTTACAGCAAGACCATGTGTAGGCTGGGAAACTCTTGGTTCTTATTTGCAAAGCCAGAGTAAGGGGAGCAAAAAACTGCACTCTGGATGGGCTGGCAACTTGGAAGGATTGTGCATCTGTTTGGCCACTGGACAAATATTTAGAGGTTTACTGCATGTGCTAAGCATACTTGAGTGGAAAGCAGATACCTAAAACACACCTCTGCTCTTAAATAGCCTAATCTTCTGCTGATCCATCATCTAATACAGTCTGAGGAGTGCTGGACAGAGGGCGTGGCGGGAGGGGCACTAGCCCAGCCCCTAAACTGGGTTAGGGAAGGCCCTTTGATGCTGAGGACCTGTCTACAGGCATGTCTGAACGCAGCAAGAAGCTGAGATACACCAAGCTGTCCGCCCATCTTGCGCCCAGGCTCCCTTGTGACCCGTGGCATCCAATTTTGAGGCTGCTGAGCGGATTTAGAGAACGTTGCCTCGTGCTTTGGGAACAGACACAAGTTTACCACACCTACTTCTCAAAGATTGACCCTTGACCCCTGCATTCCTGGCTCACACCCAAATGCACCGTTGACCCAGCTAACCAGCTCATCTTGGTTTCATCACAAACTGCCCAGTCTCCTTGGCACCTCAGTAGCTGCGTAAGGCAGGGTCTTGTCTTCATTACACAGAGGCTCCCTCTGAGCTCCGAAAGGGTGAAATGACTTATCTTCAGACCAGGACAAGGAGGTTACACAGAATCCCCGGGTCCTTGGTTGGGATTATCAGTGACCCCAGTGACCCCATGCAGATTGTAAACACAACCTAGGAGAGGGAGGCTGCTGGAGTAGGTAACCATGACTAACTAGGAGCTGCTTCTATTTTTATTCCTGTTGTAGTTAGTGGAAAAGGCCTGCCTGGATGGTTGAGGAAAGAGGGTAACCAGCCAGGCTGGTCCCTAACCCACCTCTGCCTGTCATTGGGTTTGTCCCTTTTCCTTCAAGGCCTCGCTAAGAGGCCACCTCTGCCTTGGTATTTTGTCAATTTAATTTTCAATCCAGAAGGTCCACAAGGTTTGCTTTGGGAGAGAGCATTTTGCCCTCCTGGATTGGGAACTTTGGAAGAGAGAGACTGGCTTACTCTCAGTTTCCCTTCCGGTACCCCAGCAGTGCCCCAGCTGTCACAGGTGATCAATTATCTGTTTATAGAATTGAAAACTGTCTTCTGTTGGTCTCCTGTCCCTCTGGGGAAGCAGGTGTCTGGAGATGTCCCTGTGGAATTGCACATTCCCCGGGGAGCTCCTTTAATCTACATCGTAACAAGCCGGCTGGTAGCAGAGAGAAGAATGCTGTCAACTGGGGATATGGGGCACAGGGAGGGAGGTGCATCAGGGGATTTAGGGAAAGGCTCCAGAGCAGGAGGCATGGCTGGCTGAGGTTAGCAGCCTTGGTTTGAGGTCTAGGCAGCTATGGGAGGAGGGTATGGTGAACAGCTGGGACACAGATGCCCCTGGGCATGGCAAAGTCTTGGAGTCATCAGCTCAACTCCCCAAAAGATTCAGCTTTGCACATGGTGGGCCTGGCCCCTGAGTGGAGCCCACCGTCTTTCCCCATTAACCTCAAATGACATTTCCCTCGTTCAGCTACACTGGCCAACAGTACCAA